GATACATATATATATATATATATATATATATATATATATATATATATATATATATATATATATTTAATCTATTTATTTAATCCTTTTTTTATTATTTATTAATTACATTTACACTTTTATACTGTCCCCCCAATGTCTGGGGGTGTTGTGCACCCCTGGGGGTCCCAAATCTTCTCAAATGTGAAAATCTCTGATTTAGATTTTTTTGGAGATGCTTTTATAACGCCTCGTTCTCTCACCCCCTTATACTATTGAATGATAGAAAATATTACATAATAATATATAGAGACGCGAACATTTTTTTCTTATTTATTCGTGATATTGCCAAATCTTTTTTATTATGATATGAAGAAATGGAATTTAAAGACAGATTTTTTTTAAATAGTCCTATTATCCTACATCGGTAATTTTCTCCTTTTTTTCTGTCCATCTTCGATGCTTGTGTTTTGTGACATTTTGTAATGCCATGGTGATTTACAAAATTCAAACAATAACGTTACATACATACAGTCCCACGGGTGGCGCAGTGTTCAGAATCGTGTGTCTTATTCTACGGTTTTTGTGCTGTGGCTCTAAGAGGCTGACTGTTGGAGAGTGCTGAGTATGTAACCGGCTATTCTGTTAAACTGACGATAATGTTGATTTAATACGTAATCATTTCATATTAAATGTTGTACACTGGTTTTTTAAAAATACTAATTTAATCAAACGGACATTTCTAGAGCAGTAAGAATCAAGCTAAGTTAGCTGTCAGTTAACAATGAACAGATCCTGTTAGCTTGTTAGCGAACTAGCTGCCATTTAAAACACTTGCCAGTTATTTTAATGAATTCTGATCCAGTATGTATTATTGTTAATAAAATAACAAAACTAATTTGAATGCGTACTGCACGGTTTCTAGGAATGTTATGTTAATAAGTCTAGTTGGCTAAATGCTCATTCCTTTATTTACATACGATATTTGACACAAGCGTGAGACTATAGCTAACGTATACGTTATTTAAAACGACTGCTTGTATCGCCAGGCCTAAACAACGCGGATATCTTTAGATTGAAAGGCTTATTTGTAGTTGCTGTCTTGCATTAACACACTGTCAGGCGATTAAGGTTTAATAAATAGACTTTGTGTCTTATAATATGACTAATTTGTGTTTTAACAGTTATTATAAGTGTTATAATATGACTAATTTGTGCTTTAACAGTTATTATAAGTGTTATAATATGACTAATTTGTGTTTTAACAGTTATTATAAGTGCAGAGGAGTTATCTGGTGGCTAAGTAACATTTATTGTAAGTGCAGAGGAGTTATCTGGTGGCTAAGTCATATCTGAAGGCATATTGGAGTGTCTCGGTGATCAACATGAGTACTGCTGTGAGTATGAATGACCACGTGATTAGTTCTGATTACATTTAAACCAACGATATTTGACACAAGCGTGAGACTATAGCTAACGTATACGTTATTTAAAACGACTGCTTGTATCGCCAGGCCTAAACAACGCGGATATCTTTAGATTGAAAGGCTTATTTGTAGTTGCTGTCAACACACTGTCAGGCGATTAAGGTTTAATAAATAGACTTTGTGTCTTATAATATGACTAATTTGTGTTTTAACAGTTATTATAAGTGCAGAGGAGTTATCTGGTGGCTAAGTCATATCTGAAGGCATATTGGAGTGTCTCGGTGATCAACATGAGTACTGCTGTGAGTATGAATGACCACGTGATTAGTTCTGATTACATTTAAACCAGAGGTCTCAAACTCAATTCCTGGAGGGCCGCAGCTCTGCAGAGTTTAGCTCCAACTCACACCTGCTTGGAAGTTTCTAGTGATCCTGAAGACCTTGATTAGCTGGATCAGGTGTGTTTGATTAGGGTTGGAGCTAAACTGTGCAGAGGCGTGGCCCTTCAGGAATTGAGTTTGAGGCCAGTGATTTAAACAATTGCAGCTTGCCGCATTGCACTCTTCCTGTGTGTGCATTACCAAACATCAACAGTAATGCTGTAGTAACCGCTTGTGTCTCCTGTTTTCAGACACCGAGGAAAAGACGAACATCATCTGCTACATGTTCCCGCCGTGGAAACAGCAAGAGGAGCCGGACCCAGATGTCTCAAACCGCGATGGAGACCATTGATGTGCTGGAAAGTGACAGAACTAACAGTGAGTTTGATGCGCTTGTTTTACCAGACTTGTCCTTTACCCCTGATTGATGATGTAAGAGCAAATTATTTCATAGCCTCAAAAACACCATAGAGTGGTTTAGTGTAAAGTTCCTGTTAAAGGCAATTCCCTGTTTATGCAAATTTGTAAACCATGAACAAGCAACTTGCAAGCAATGGACATCACACTCATTTGGTTGGGCGACATTCAGAATTTAGAGTTTACCTTTCCATTTGTAAGTTGACATTTTTTACCCGTTGAATCCTATTTAGACTGCAACAGTCAGGTTTCAGAATTAGAAATCCTATTAATATTCTCCATAGCAGAATTGACTGTTAAAGACAGACATGCTACAGGGTTGTTAATTGATCAGGGTTTCTGTGGGTCTTAAAGTCTTAATTCGCCCCTTCTCCAAGCAAAGGCTTTAAATCTTTAATCGGAGCAGAAAGTCTTTATAAAGTTATGGCATGAAATGTTGCATGCACCGCGCAAACATTTTTTTTAAAAATCTTCCTCAGGTTTTTTGTGTTTTCCAATATTAGTATCCAAGCCTTCAGTTATTAGTATTAGTCCAGGTGATATGTGAAAATGTTCACTTTTTCATGAAACTTGGTACACTTGTATAGTTTGCGGCCCTAAACATTTTCAGAAATGGAGCCATCGCAAAAACACCTTGTTGTTGCCATTTTATGTATGGTCATACAAGGCAACACCTTGTTGTTGCCATTTTACTTTCCGCCATAACCAAATTATGTTTGGTTCAGGAGCTATGACACAAAATACATAACACAAAAAAGGTGATGTCTACCCCTATGGTGACAAGCACGGGAGGATTGCAGGTCCAATAACCAAGACTATTTCGACTCGGTCCAGTACACGTGGAGCAATGTAGCCAATTGCGCTGCCACTGATTGACCGCTGTAGTGATTCTATTAAAGGAAGTGCTATTTGCTTGCTTTCTGTATTTAATCTATTCACAATTTGAATAAAAGTTCAAATGAGTTTTCTCTACCTCATGTTGGAGATGTAATGCAGGTGTGGTCCGAGTCCCAGTTTTTATTTCAAATGGGTTGGGTATGTGATTAAATTAGTGTTGCTGTCAGATAACGTGTCGAGTGTTAATTACTGCGATTTGTGGGAAGATCATTTCACCAGCTAGGAAAGGTGAACGAAAATGCCTTTCTGTGATGTTACCAGTAAGGCATCGCTTACTTGCAGATCTCAGGCTTCTGGAGGGGATGTAGATTCGTAAGAGTGAGGACGAAGTAGGAGGGTGCTGAGCCTGTGGCTGTTCTGCACGCAAACATCAATGTCTTGAACTTGATGCGAGCTGCAACCAGTAGCCAGTGCAGAGAGATAAAGAGAGGTGTAAACTGGGCCCTTTTGGGCTCATGGAAGAATAGTCGTGGCGCTGCATTAAGAAACATTTGTTGAGGTTTGATTGCGCATGATGGAAGTACAGCTAGAAGAGCATTGCAATAGTCCAGCCTAGAAATGACAAGGGCCTGGGCAAGAAGTTGTGCAGCATGCTCTGTTTGGAAGGGCCTGATCCTCCTGATGTTGTGCAATGCAAAACTGCATGATCGAGCTCTCTTTACAATATGGTCCTTGAAGGTCAGCTGGTCACCAAAGAATAATCTTTGATGAACCTAGCAGGATGATGAAATCATGCCGTAGAGTCGAATTGGCAAGGAAAACAAGAAGCTCAGTCTTTGCCAGGTTGAGCTGCAGGTAATGTTCCTTCATCCATGCCGAGATGTTTGCCAGGCAGCCTGAGATCCATGCAGCTGCTATTGGGTTGTCTGGTTGAAATGAATGATAGAGCTGTGCGTCATCAGCATAGCAATGGTAAGGGAAACCATGTGCTTGTATAATGACTCCCAGTGATGTAGTGTTTATGGTGAAGAGAAGGGGTCCAATAACTGATTCCTGAGGAACCTCTCCTCCCCAGGAAACCCTGAAACACCTACCTGTGAGATAAGATTCAAACCAGTGGAGTCCAGTGATGGCAGACAGGATAATCTGATGATTCACAGTGTAAATTGTGGCAGATAGATCCAGCAGAATAAGAACTAAATATTTGAATCAGCTTTTGCTATCTGCAGGGCTACAGTGACCAACAGCAAAGCAGTCTCAGTTGAATGGCCACTGCTGAAACCTGATTGGTTAAACTTCAGTTGGTCATTCTGGGAAATTAATAATGTAACCGTGTCTAAAAAGGTGTGAACCAAATGGTCCATTCCATTAGAATAACAAAGGAACCGCGTTCCTCAGGAACGTCTTATAGATTGCGGGAAGGTCCTAACAGTATTGTTTCTAGCCCTTTTGTCTTCAGGTATAAAATGATGTCCCACAGACAGAACTTTGGGAGAAGCTAGGATCAATACTAAATATAAAATTGTATATTTAGGGTAAAATTGTTTGAAGGAAGACATGCTATTGAAGAACTGCTACACTACCATCTTCAATCAATTCTTCTCCCCACACAAAATTTGGTCAAGCCTACTTAATTTTTTGTATTTGTGAAATCTAGTACATTTGGTGAGCCACCCAAAAGACTGCTCGGCAAAAATACAGTAGTGATGATGCTGCATGGGGCAACTTTTTAGGTAAGAAGGTGTATTATGCACTGGCCTGTCTAAACTGATATTGTCTTGAAAAGTTGAAGTGGATCATAAAGTGTCAGTTGCTGTATTTACATCCAGAGATGAGAAATGGGTGGGTGAGGGAAGAGAGGATGACATTACAGAGGAAAGATGGAAGGGTGAAAGGGAGCGTAGGTTTTGCCTAAAAGTAACTGGTAGAGGAATTTATGGCACACATGTAGTAATATGTAGGTTAAATGTAATAAAGAAGTGAGCAGAGATGTCTAGAGGTTTTACCAAATGTTGTCTGTGATACAATTGCATGTGTAAATTAAGTCAAGCTGGTTGCCTGATTTGTTAGTGCTTGTGATGGTAAGCCATTTGAGATTGAATGAAGCTAGGAGTGGAAGTGGAAGTCTGCAGTGTAAGGATTCTCCAGATGGACTTCGAAGTCATCAAAGACCACAAGTGGACTGCCATCCACAGAGAATGAGGACAGCATCTCATGCAGCTCTATAAAGGTGCCCAGTTGACCAGAAAGGCGATAAATCATTACAATATGGCGTTTAACAGGAGCTGTGACCAAAATAGCATGAAACTCAAAATAATTTTTATTGCATAGGGAAGAGTGGGTTGAGTATTTCCAATTATTAGAAGACCAGTACCCTTCCAACCTGACAGGGTGTGTGAGAGAAAGGGAAGTTGTTAGAGAGAACAGCAGGGGTTGCGTATTCTTCTGGACGAATCCAGGTCTCAGTCAAGCCCAAGATACTAATGGTGCTTTTCCACTGCGTTGTACAACTTGGCTCGGCACGGCACGGTTCGGCTCGGCACGGTTCGCGTTTTCACTGCAGTTCAGTACCACTTTAGAGTGGGCGGGATTATTCACATGTTGTTATAGTTGCGCCGCCTCTATTACCACGACTCCTTTTTAAAAAAAAAAAAAAAAAAAAAACACTTTCATTCCGCGTCGCCCCATCAAGACCTCACTGGATCCGCTCCTCTGCAATCAATGAGAGGAACGTCTGGTCTTTTTGGTTGTTAAAAAAAAGTTGCGCTCGTTCAAAACAGTTGCATTCGATCCTTCGCTGGCTGTGCTGATTTAAATCTAGCGGTTCTTTTGTGTTTGTCGCAAGTTCATTGACGCAGGTAGTGATGATTCTCTCCGGCCAATCCGTGATCCGCAGAGTTTACACATCACGTTTTGGTAACTGTACGGTTCACTTGGAACCTCAACCGAGGTGGTACTAAAAAAAGTACCAGGTACGGTACCCAGTGGAAAATCCCCCAAAAGTGAACCGTGCCGTACCATGCAGTGGAAAAGCGCCATAAGAGTAGACTGAGAAGCAGTGGCCAGAATGAAGTTTGCTGACTGACAATTCCAGAGACCCACAGAAAATGACAGAGGTGCAGCAGAAGAGGTGCAGATAGGGCGCAGCTTAGCAAGATTGCCTTGCCGTTTGCGTTTGATGTTAGAGCATTGTTGAGCGAGAACAAGAAACATACTACCGCCTACCCGACTCTGCCTAGAGGTAAGGAAACATACTTACTTGAGATGATATTGTTTTATATCTCGGAAGTAAATGATTGTATTCTTGAAAACAATCTTTTAAAATATTAGTTAAGCTGGTGTGTGGTGGGCATTCTGGCGCAATATGGCTGCCGTCGCATCATACAGGTGGATGCTGCACATTGGTGGTGGTTGAGGAGATTCATGTAAAGCGCTTTGAGTACCCAGAAAAGTGCTATATAAATGTAACTAATTAATTAAAGCAATCTTTTATTGTACTATTGAATAAAATATTATTTAATTATCAAAGAAAGAAAAAAATTAATGGCCATAATATGGACTTTTGTAAATGCTGTGATACTATGATGCTCAGATAGTGATATTTCCTTCTCACATTGCTGATTTCACCATTAACTCTTCACCTGAACGGTTTGTTTTTTTATGTGGTATCGTTAGGGCCTTTCGCACCGCTTTAGTTCCAGAACTAAATGTACTGGGACTATTTTGCGCGAACCATTTCCCAGTACCATTTAAAGAGTTGCATTTGCACCGAGAGTATATATTAAAAAGTGACGTAAGCCGGTTGTCAGTTGTGTGCGGGGTTCAACAACAGAAACAAAGAAGAACAACATTAACAACAGGAGGATGGAGGACGCTGTGATCGGAGCTGTGTTTTTGTTGTGTCTCACGGGTTTCACAATAATGGACATAGAAAGTTGACGTATAAATAAAGCGATTGAAAGAACGGAAAGGAGGACTAAGAATCTCCAACGACAATTGGCAGTGCTACATTTGTTACAAGTGCCTGCACTTCAGCATCCGTCCATCTATCGCTGTTCTCCATACTTGCAAAATAAGTTGACACTATGTTTACACAGCATTTTAAATCATGGCGGGTGAGGGCGTTTTCATACGCGTTTGGCCAATCAATGTCTACTTGCGTTACGGGTAGTACCAGTTGTGCTGGTTAGACCCTGCTCCGGAGTAGGAGCTAATTTGGTTCTCGAAAAAGGCAGTCCGGTACTAAAATTGCACCCAGTTCCGGCGGTGCGACAACGCCAAAAAGTGGGTAGTTCCACAATTAGGTCTGGTACTATGAAAAGGTTCCCGCGGTGTGAAAGGCCCTGTTGTAATCCTTGACCATCAAAACGTAGGGGTAGACATCACCTTTTCTGTGTTTATCATATTTGGTTCAGGAGCTATGACACAAAATACATAATTTGCTAATGACGGAAAGTAAAATGGTCGCCATGGCAACCACGAGGTGTTTTTGCAATGGCTCCATTTCTGAAAATGTTCAGGGCCCTAACCTGTACAACTGTGCCAAGTGTCATGCTTTTATGAAAAAGTGAACACATCACCTAAAATTTTGCACATGTCAGGTGGACTATATCTAAATTTAGATGCTAGTACCAATATTAGTATCTAAATCAACATACATTTACTGGAGATGCAGAATGAAGATATGAAGTGTTGTGTACTGAACAAATATCTGTCATTGGTCAAGGAAAACCTGTTTTCCCCTTGAATTAAGTTTTCTGACCCTATTAGCAAAAATATATTTTTAAAACATACAAACTTTTGAATAATTTCTCATGGAACAAGGCGTCTTCTCTTCTGTCATTTTGCTTCAAGTAAAGACATCTTGATTTAAGAATCTTTAGATATTTGCACTGGAAAACAAGACAAAAATACTGAACAGTTTTTTGCAGTGTGATCAGAAGGTATAGTTCTTTCTATATTCTAGGGTTTGAAAACTGAGCTATTTGTGTAAAATGAATCAAAATGAAATGAAGATCTGTTTAAAGCTGTATTTTTATACTGCTTATACAACTCATTATTTGCATGCAAAGGAAATTGGTTTTTAAAAAAATTTTTTTTTTTTTTTGGCACTTCAAGTCAGGGTTCACCTCATAGCTGACTGGTTTGGTCCATGGCTTTAAACTCTTTATCAGTCTTTTTTACAAATCCCTATTGGACAAAATGAATGGAAAATATACTTCTGGAGCTAACACTTCTGAAAAAGTATGAGGGAAACTGTTGCACTTTGGATGATGATTGACAGGAATAGGAAATTATTGTACATATAACCAAGGAATTGCATTACTGTAGTTCAACACGCATTTAGCAGATTTAGTCTGTCTCTTTATTCCACGATCTGTCCAATCAGATAAGGAAAACAATCATATTTAATATTTCTAATATTGTTTAATTTCTATATTTTTTGGATAAGGTTTTGGTCAATTTAATTGAAAAGAAATGCTAACGTTTCTCTCTCGCGTTGTCTTGTCAAAGGTGAAGATGTGGTAGATTTAACATGCGAAGGGTCTGAACCTGCGGTTGTTGACCTCACCAATAATGATTCTATAGTGGTGAGTCTTGAACACTTGTATTGAAACTTTGTACAGTAACAGTTTGAATGAAGCATGTGCTTTATTGAGGATGTGTAATTGTTTATTTTCTGTCTCGTCTTTCTCTCATTGTCCCTTGGGATGAAGGTTGTGGAAGATGGTAATGTATCGTTCTGTTTTTCTTTTATTGATGTAATTGAACTGTTCATTTGTTGCTTTGGATAAAAGCATTTTATAAATACACAGTCAAACTAGGGTAGATAAAAAGACACGGAACAGTTATTGGAGTGGCAGTGAATTTTTTTTTTATTAAGATCATTTCATCAAAATGTGTCATAACTGTGTCTTTGTCTTACTAAGCTGCTTTTACATTCATGTTTGTGCAGGTGTGCAAAGCCGACGTGGACAGGGCACAGAGAGTTATGTACTGAGCAGTGACGACGAGGAAGAGTCCAGTCTTCGACTCAGTCCAGGCTTACTGTCCTCTCTACATGCCAGTTCGCGAGCCAGGTACACCCAGTCCATCCATCATCACACAGATTAGATTGGGCTAGAACTAAATTATTATAGTCTTCATCTTTGTATGCAGATTTTGTGGATGCAGCTTTGTGAATTTTTACGTTTGACAGTTAATATTAGAGCCCGACCGATATATCGTTTTGCTGATTTTATCGGCCAATATGAGTCTGTCGCAGATATTGTATCGGCGAATATGCCACCGATATGAATTTTTATTTTTTTTACAGAACATAAAACGCAGATAAAATGCTTGTAAATGGTGTAATTACATAGTTTGTCCAGCGGAGCGCGCTCCATTGTTTGCTACTGGCGACCTGGATGAAACGCTTTTGAAGCTTAAGTGTACGGAATACCATTGAAACTTTGAACGGCCATATCTCCATAATGGCGTGGCGGATCCGCACCAAATTCGGGGGATCCCTTCACCTCCCAAATGCCGTCGAATTTGGTGGAGATCCGCTGCCGCGTTTGCGAGATAGTGACACCAGCCAACACTTTCACTTCAGTAAGGAGGGCTCTTGTTCAGGCAGCAGCATTCAAGCATTGTCTTATTCGACCGTAAGTGCCTTGCGAAGTGGACTTCACATGATGCTCCGCCATGGTTCCAAGGGAACGTACACGTTACATTCAAAGGGCATTAAAGTTTGCGAGACGTGAATTTATATTATTTATTTACAGAGGTATATTATGTCACACTTCTCTAGTAAGTTTCGTCTGTGTGTGAAAACAGTAGCGCAAATCCGAATGAATGTTCCGAAGTGAAAAACTTCACGGAATAAAGTTGAATGGAATTGGAAAAAGTTGAATAAACTTCAACTTTACTGTCAGATGTCAGACTCATTTTAGATAAAGTTTGTTAAATTCCCTGCCTCCCTTACATATCTTTGTCACGTCATTATAAGTGTTTGATCACCACATTTGATTGATCATTGCAAAAAAAATTATGTATATACTGTGTTCTATATATAGTACCAGTCAAAAGTTTGGGCACACGAATGGGAAGGTGTTTGACTGGTACTGTACTATAATATACACAAAGAATATCGGCCTATATACTTTTTTACTCCCTAATATCGGTATCGTATCGCCCGCAAAAAAACCCATATCGGTCGGGCTGTAGTTAATATGCACTACAAGACTTGCATATCTCGAGTTGATTTGTTTTGTGGTGGTCTGCTGTGTGTAGGTCTACACCAGGGGCTGTTAGCTGTCCTGTTTGTATGGATGCTTATTCAGAGGTAAATTGTTGTATGTGCAACTAATCACATAATCAGTGCATTTATATAGTTAGTTAACCCCAAAATTAACTTTGTCGTCATTTACTCACCCTCATGTTGCTCTAAATACTTTTGAACTTTTTGAAGCTTAAAAGTTTGGTTGAATACACTTTGGAGGGATCGAAATCTCTCAGGATATCTTCATTTTGCTTTGAAGATGAACGAAAGTCTTATGGGTTAGGGCGAGTAAATGATGACGATGTTCATTTTCGGTTGAACTATACCTTTAAATCAACCCTAAATAAACATTCTATCATCTTATACTCGCACTCATGTTACACTTTTTTGTGGAATGTTAATGCTACTCTTTCCTATGACATGAAAATGAATGCTGACCAGGGGCTTTACAGCTCCAAAAAAGAATGGAAAGAGAAGCAAGAAAATGTTTTGGTTTGCAATGAGTGAGAAAATGACAAACCATTTTGGATTGAAGTTAACCATTTAATTGAACTGTAATTATTTTTTCTAGTCTATAATACAATGTTTCTCTGGTTAATTTAAAATGTCTGGTTTTGATCCCATTTTCAGATCATCGACAGTGGTCGGCTCATGGTCTCCACAAAGTGCGGCCACCTTTTCTGCAGTCAGTGCATCCGCGACTCTCTCAACAGAGCTCACAGCTGCCCTACATGTAGAAAGAAACTCACACACAAACAGTATCACCCAATATATATCTAATGGTAAAAACTCGTCCGTGTGCATCTCTCAGAGTACGCTCTCATGAAACTTCACAGCTCCATATTTTCACTGGCTGTTTGATATTTTACACATCAATGCCGAGATGATATTAGGCATTATTTTGACTTGTGGGATTCTGTTGGAACTAAAAGGGCACTTAGTCCAGAATTTAGTATTTTTAAATTGTGAATGTATATACACATACATACTGTTTTGGGAATATATCCTGACATTGAGGAGTCTGGGTTTATGGTTTAAGGCTGCTATATTAATATTTGTTTTATTTTTGTCAACTGTCCCGTTTGTAGTATTGAATTAGGTTCCAGTTCAAATGAAAAAAATAAAATAAAATGAATGGCCAACTGTCACAAGTTAGGATCTTGTAATGTTAGTTTAGTCTTAAAATAGCTTCCTGCTGTGATGGTCTCCATTCTTGTTTAGTGAAATTTGTAAGCCTGTAATGATAGTTTGCCAACTGGACAACTTTTAGGTCGCCCTCCCCCTGTATCTTCTCTCATTTGTTTGTATAGCCTTCGTACCAGCCTTGTTAGCTTTAACGGTCACTCACAGTTAACTTATTTTCATTCATTGTCTGTTTATTTGATCGGAATTCATATTCGGATTCTTTTGTCGTCAAGCATATTGTTGCATTCAAATGAGTTTTTGAGGGAACAGTAAATGCTGACTATGTAAATGTGCTTTCATCTCAGAAGACCTCTTCAACTGATCGTTTACTCAGTGGTCAGAGAAGTGAATGGTAAATACATCTTGATTGGTTAGCACAGGGTGACTGGAGGACTAAAGCTAACAAGGCTTGTTTGCCAACTTGTATGTGTTAATATTTGTATATACTTTAATGTATAAAGGACCTGTAAGTTAAGAGGCGTTAGTAAAGATTAGTATTTTTAAATTGTGAATGTATATACACATACATACTGTTTTGGGAATATATCCTGACATTGAGGAGTCTGGGTTTATGGTTTAAGGCTGCTATATTAATATTTGTTTTATTTTTGTCAACTGTCCAGTTTGTAGTATTGAATTAGGTTCCAGTTCAAATGAAAAAAATAAAATAAAATGAATGGCCAACTGTCACAAGTTAGGATCTTGTAATGTTAGTTTAGTCTTAAACAAAATAGCTTCCTGCTGTGATGGTCTCCATTCTTGTTTAGTGAAATTTGTAAGCCTGTAATGATAGTTTGCCAACTGGACAACTTTTAGGTCGCCCTCCCCCTGTATCTTCTCTCATTTGTTTGTATAGCCTTCGTACCAGCCTTGTTAGCTTTAACGGTCACTCACAGTTAACTTATTTTCATTCATTGTCTGTTTATTTGATCGGAATTCATATTCGGATTCTTTTGTCGTCAAGCATATTGTTGCATTCAAATGAGTTTTTGAGGGAACAGTAAATGCTGACTATGTAAATGTGCTTTCATCTCAGAAGACCTCTTCAACTGATCGTTTACTCAGTGGTCAGAGAAGTGAATGGTAAATACATCTTGATTGGTTAGCACAGGGTGACTGGAGGACTAAAGCTAACAAGGCTTGTTTGCCAACTTGTATGTGTTAATATTTGTATATACTTTAATGTATAAAGGACCTGTAAGTTAAGAGGCATTAGTAAAGACCATAACATTTATTTCAATAAACATTTTGATCACTGATTGATTACTTTATTTCATGGGATGAACATTTAAGATGTTTTGATGAGTACTAGATTTTTAAAACGAAATGTGCAGAGACTTTATTTAAAACGACAGTTTTCATTCTGGGGAGCTAACTATGTATTGTCTGTTTGCCAAACAATATAGAGAATTTCAGAATGAAATACGGTTTTGTAACTTGAAATATTGTACAAATTTCAAACTGGTATAAATGTAAAAAAAAAAAAACAAGTGATCCGTATTTAGGACCTTACTAATTACAGTGTTTAAATTATAAGTTACAATGCAACTACACTCTTAAAAATAAAGGTGCTTCAAAAGGTTCTTCAAGCGATGCCATAGAAGAACCATTTTTGGTTCCACAAAGAACCATTCAGTCAAAGGTTCTTTAAAGAACCATCTCTTTCTTGCCTTTTTGTAATCTGAAGAACCTTCTTTCGCCACAAAGAACCTTTTGTCACACAGAAAGGTTCTTCAGATGTTAAAGGTTCTTAATGGAACCATTTAGACAAAAAGTTTCTTCTATGGCATCGTGAAGCACCTTTATTTTTAAGAGTGTAGTTACTTCTGGTTAAGTACTTTCTACGTAATTTTACTGTTCTGTATACCTTTATTTTTTTTCCCAATTCGATTTTCTTGTTTTCAGTTTTAATTAGATTTCTCATTTTCATTTTTCAATTTAACTATTTCAGTTTAATATCGGTTTGTTTTCTGTCAACAGTCATATATTTGAATTATAATTCTATACATACCGGTGCATCTCAATAAATTAGAATGTCGTGGAAAAGTTCATTTATTTCACAACTCAAATTGTGAAACTCGTGTATTAAATAAATTCAATGCACACAGACTGAAGTAGTTTAAGTCTTTGGTTCTTTTAATTGTGATTTTGGCTCACATTTAACAAAAACCCACCAATTCACTATCTCAACAAATTGGAATACTTCATAAGACCAATAAAAAAACATTTTTAGTGAATTGTTGGCCTTCTGGAAAGTATGTTCATTTACTGTACATGTACTCAATACTTGGTAGGGGCTCCTTTTGCTTTAATTACGGTCTCAATTCGGCGTGGCATGGAGGTGATCAGTTTGTGGCACTGCTGAGGTGGTATGGAAGCCCAGGTTTCATATATATATATATATATATATATATATATATATATACATATATCCATTTTAGTCGACAATGCCTTGGTCACGTTATCTTTTTTGTCAATTTGAAAAACCACCCCAAGATGGCAGCACGTGTTCATACATGTGAAGCAAGTTTTCTGAAACGCCGGTTAGAGAGATTGTTTCTCCCCCAGCTGAGGGCACTGATGAGCCCTGTTTGAGAGAGCTATATTTGTTCTGGACTTTTGCTGCATAGATTTTGTACTCCTACTCAGTCCACAATAACTTAAACTCCATTTAAATGTGTGCAGAGTATATGCATAGCTATACTGTATATGCTTTACAACGTTCTTATATATGTACAAATCTTATTGGCTACATCCTATAAATATATGTGTGTGTGTGTGTGTGTGTGTGTGTGTGTGTGTGTGTAAACACTAAATGAAAATGCATGGCATGTGTGCTTATTAGTATGCTCAGGATTTGCAGAACAGAGTATAACCATACATTTGAAAACATCACTTTTCCAAAATTAGCTATTACCATGTACATCATCATACTAAATAAGCACGTTACGTTAGATGTGAGATGTTAATCCAGCTATCTCAACCTGTATTTACCGAGGGCTTCCCAAATTAAGACACTTTTAGTATTGTTTACTGACTTCAGTTGATACTATCGCTTAGGCCACTCAAACTCTTGTGCTCACAAGTGTTATTAAATGTGTCATTATTCTTATAGGTCTTTTTGGAATGTCAGACCGTTGTTGCAAATGGCATTTGTCCAAGTCAGTTTTCAGGGAATGGTACTACTGGATTTATTAAAGTACGTTGAAAAACAATGATTTTTACAACTGGAATTGAGATTTTACTTAGTCACTGTTTTTATTTGATAAAGAATAGTCTATTTGACTATTAGTAATAATTTGATTTAATAAAACGTTTTCTATATTATTATTATTATTAGTAGTAGTAGTAGTAGTAGTATTGTGAAAGAGTTAAAAAGCAAGAGTGAGTAGGCTCGCTGTGATTGGTCTAAAGTTGGCTGTAGGGCTGGACTGTAATCCTGAGTGTGTGTGTGTCTGGACGGCGAAATATTTAGATAACGGTATTTAAAACACCGTTTTGGTACAAATGTAGGTGCTGTAAATAATGTGTCGGTTGTGTTTTGTTTTCTGAAGTGTCTAAGTGGAGATCAATCGAAAGGCATTTGACCAGCTTGGGCGATAAGCGCGCGGTGACTGTCATCTACAGAAGTTATCACGAGCGGTCAGCGCGTGTATTAAGAAGTGTCGCGCGAAAATACATGACATAAGAGCGTCCAGGAATACAGTTGTGCGTGATAATTAAACGGCTTGGATCCAGTGTTGCGTGCATGAGGATTTCTGATGTAGGCGCCCAGCTTTTATATAGCCATGAATTGTCTGGAGTGTTTTAGGAGGATGCAAGCATGATATTTAATCTATCAGTCGCAAGGAACAGATTTATGAACGTTTTCAACTGTTGGTAAGTCTTGCATGTTTGACTGCGAATATTTTATTGCAGGTTTTATGGTTTAAAAAGTACATTTTACCCACTTGGAACAGCTTTTTGTGCACATGTGCTTTTTACTGCACAAAATAAAATAGCTCAATGTTGCAGGTTATGCTGTGCTGTGATTTAATTTGAGGCAATGCTTTTTTATATATAAGACAACGTAGGTGGTGTTAGAAATGTTATTCAATTCTACACATTTTCAAAAGTGCAGCAGAAGTTCAGAAGTGTTTTGGCATAGCACTGGTGTTTCAGAATAATTCACCAATCCTTGTTCTCACTAACAGCTTTATTTATTTCATAGATTGAAGAACCAGAGAGCCTTAATAGGGACATCATGGAACTCTTTTGGATAGTTTTCTTCATTTTTGACATTATTTTCATGACAGACTGTGCTAGAGGTGAGTGCAAATATATTTGCTCTTGTGAAATTTGTAAAAAAAAACATGGAAGAGGGTGGACTGCTGTTAAAATTCTTATGCTTTAATAATGTTTTGATATTTGAATAATCTTGATTAATACCACATAGTTTAAAAGTAATTGTGTCACTATATGTTGACTTCATGAGCATAATATAGTTGTGTTCTAGTTACTGTCACTAAATAGTCACATGCATGTCATGTGTGCTCGTCTGAATGTTCAAGATTTTCATTAAAACGTTTTAAGTAAATTTAAGCTCATTAGCTAACAAATCTGTCAGGTACTAAAGCTTTAGACTAATTCCCACTGTATGTTTAATGAATTCGGCAACATATTTGCTTTACTACATTTTTTAAATACGTTAAAACTCAAAAATTGGAAAGAATTGTTTATCTTGTTCACAAAATTAAGCTGCTTTCATTTGAAAGTTGATCTGTCTTAATGTGACTTTATGTATCTTTATTGCGTCACGCATTATGTTTGGTATTTGTTTGGTGTGGTCGTGCATAGAAAAGTAATCATGGTCATAGTTCAGTTGTTATTAAAAAAGCTTGTTTAAGACTCTTTAATAAGATGTGATATTCAACTGACAGGCTAAACTTGATTTAAAATGTATTATATTAATTGAAGGCCCAAAAAAAACCCATCTAAATTTAGTCCGTATCTTGCATCTGCCGAGTTGAAATTCAATCATCCTGGACCTTGAAGGATTCTCTTAACCTGTCTATTGAGTTCAGGTCCAGATTGAGAGCTTGAGACTTTTGGGTTCTGTCGCTGGCATTGTTTGCTGAATGCAGTCCTCTCGCATTAGCCATTCTCTGGTCTTCCTTTTGGATTGAAACGAACCATCATTTCCATTCATAATGGGTTGAATGGGGGCCGGGGCCGCTGATGGGCAGATAGTACAGCTCACTGACTCCACTCCATCAGGGCTGCATGTGAAGCGTGATGGAGTCTCCCTTTTGCGTTAGCGTTCACCTCAGACTCAACAGCCTGTCAACGGAGCTGGTGGGCGAGAGAGAGAGAGGCCGAGCGACGTCTGTGCAGATTGCATCTGTGAGGGGCCCTGAACAATGTGGCATTCACAGTCACATAGCCCTGGCCTTCATAGAAACGCTTAGCCAAAAGTAAACAGAAATGCAGAAAGCAATGCGATTAGATTAGCCAATTATGTTTGTTTGCTGTGCAATAGCGAAGGTGTGCCTCCCAAGCCAGGGAGATTTGTGTTTGTAAGGAAGCGCAGACAATTTGCCGCCTTGATCGTATCTGAAACGGGAAGCTGCGGGTATGTTTGATATGTTGCACTTGTTACAGACTTGCTTTGCACCTGACAAAACAAAAATGTGACCCTGGACCACGTCATAAGGGTCAATTTTTCGAAATTGAGATTTATACATCGTCTGAAAGCTGAATAAATAAGCGTTCCATTGATGTATGGTTTGTTAGGATATGACAATATTTGGCCGAGATACAACTATTTGGAAATCTGGAATCTGAGGGTGCAAAAAAAAAATCTAAATATTGAGAAAATCGCTTTTAGAGTTGTCCAAATTAAGTTCTTAGCAATGCATATTACTAATCAAAAATTAAATTTTGATATATTTACAGTTGGAAATTGACAAAATATCTTCACGGAAAATGATCTTTACTTAATATCCTAATGATTTTTGGCATAAAATAAAAATCTATAATTTTGACCCGTACAATGTATTTTTGGCTATTGCTACAAATATACCCCAGCGACTTAAGACTGGTTTTGTGCTCCAGGGTCACAAATCGGATCTGTCCATTGAAGATTGCTCAAATGATAGTCCTGCAGCATTTCAGAATAGAATGATTTGATGAGACGCAATGAACTGGCAGTTTGAACATTCAAAGATCTCAGTTCTCCCAAAATGTACCTCTGCTTTTATATCTAGGGTGAAGATGACCTCGGTATGCGGATGTGTGATTAGACAAATTAAAATGGCACTGCTATATATTATACTCTGTTTCTGTACTTTATTACAATGTAACAGCTGCATCTGGAACAATATTTTAAAGTCAACATTGAAAACCCAATTGCAACCCATTTTCCCCATCCAGAATTGTTTGTGGTGCTTAAAGGCGAGGGATTCGGGACGTCAGCCCAAAAGAAAGACATTTTACTGGCTTAAGTTATTGCATTCAGATAAAAAAGGAAGACACTTTTTTTTTTCTCCTCCAGATTTTCTTTGGAATAATGTGCACTGATGGGCAGTACATGCAATAAAATTCATTAAAAAAGTAAATAAAGTCAGTTTTCATTTTAAATGTATCTGTAGCATTTTGCACTTTTATTTAAGATTACAACAGCACTCAAGTCATTTGTGAAAGATAGTTAGTGCAGGACCTGTGGAGTAAGGTTCCTTTGTCCTTGACGTGAGAGGAGGGCTTCACGTCAGATGACAAACATTTTCCGTTGTTAACGGAAGTGCAGTCTTGTGCAGCCTTTGCAATGTTTACGGGTCTAGGCATCTCAAAGTAGAAGGCTTAACATCCGATTCCATCCACTGTCCACTCATTCCAGCTGGCGATTTTGAATGTTTGTAAATGCATTATGCATCCAATCCCATCTGAATCACTTTTGGCCCGTTCACCAGCCATGCCAGAAGCAGAGTTTAACAATCCCATGTGGCATTTCAACAATTTGTCCACGGGAAAAACCTTAAAGTGTGCCATTTATATGATGCAGTGGCCTCAGAGCTTGAATGGATATCATTGTGTGTAAGACACTGAGAGGCTGTAATTAAGACCCTCAAGCCTTGTTAGTTACAGTTTCCCATTTTTTTGTTTTCTCCGATGATATTGACATGAATTATGTCCTCTGACAGGAATAACCTCAGTATTCGCTCATAGGAAACAAAAATACATTTGTGTGTGGTTCTTTATCAGTAATGCAGAAATTGCTGTTCACGATTTTACTCAATAATTGTGCTTGTGTGGGGGGTGTTTTTGGAGGAGAAGAGTTTAAGGGAGTCTTTTGGCAACATATGGGTTCTTGGAAGAGGGGGCTGAGCTCTGAAGATGGGCTGAAGTGTTTGTAGGTACGCGCTGATTTGTTTACACTGATGTAGACCACCCTTGCAGTATATGCCAATATACTCGTGGAGATGTGTGGATCCGAAATCTCAGTGGAGCAAACAGTCAGATGGTCTGCTTGCAAAGTAAACACCCTTATGAACTCCAATCTGATGGACATTAAATCTGCATCTCTGGGAAAAAAGCCCTGGAGTCATAAACTTAACAGTGATTTTTCTCACCTCTCCCAACCCCCTTCCATTTTCTCTTCTTCTTCTTCTTCTTTTTTTTACCTTTTCACTTTTTCCACCTCATGGTTTATGACCAGAAGACATCCAGGAAATTAATTTACTGTGTTTAAGAAACACAGTGTTACACTTGGGAACTCCATTCATCCCACTTAAATGTGTCTCAAAACAGTGGAAGGGTTGATTTTTTTTTTTTGTAATTTATCAAAATATTTAAAAAGGTTTGCTGCATGGTTGAAATACGCTACGCTTATAAAAATGTTTCCGTTTTTTAGAGGAAAAAAAAAACATAAGTCGCATTTTATTATTTCATTCAAAAATAGGCCTAATGCCGACACTAAATGTTTGCAAACATTATAATAAACACTGTAAACATAGCTAGGCTATTTTAGTTCCCTCACTCTACAACCAATCGTTTCAATTAACAGTATTTAGAAAAGAACAAGAATTAAAAATATAAGAAGCTAGAGCTAAACGACAAGCCAAAACGAATTAATTTAGGCTAAAACGAAACTGAAACCAACGTTGCGTCTCTCATTTGACACAAAATCAAATGTTTCCGTATTCGCGATGTATTTGAATGCCAAAATAGTATTTATTATGTAGCCTACTCGCGTTCCAATATCCACGTAAAACAAAATGGTTTGCATAACATCATTCATGGCGGTACGACGATAACGCTTAACGGCACAGATTTTACTACATATTTAAAATGAGCAGTGTGTTTTTTCCATATGTTTGACTGACTATTTTATTATGATAATGAACAGGCTGCATTGTCAAGGTAGCAATGCTTAAAGGGTTAGTTCACCCAAAAATGAAAATTAGACTGCGTTTTACTCACCCCCGATGCATCCTAGGTGTATATGACTTTCTTCTTTCAGACGCATCCAGTCGGAGTTATATTAAAAATTGTCTTTGATCTTTCAAGCTCTATTGTTGCACTCAGCGGGTGTTGCATTGCTTCTGTCCAAAAAGACGTGAAATAAAAAGCACCCTTCCATAAAAAAAGTGTCTCACACGGCTCCGGGGGGTGAACAAAGGCCTTCTGTAGCGAATCGATGCTTTTTTGTAAGAAAAATATCCATATACAAAACGTAATAATCACTTGAATCTAGCTTGCGCTCACTGTTGTAAAACCGAAGCCGTTCTGGCTGAATTACGTATGAGGTCAGCTTTGCGCATGCGCCGCTCAGAAGTGACGCACGCGGAGAGATCGAAACAAAACAACGGTCACTAATTAGAAGTGCAAAACGAGGATTTGTAAAGAAGAATGTCGGAGGATTTCGATATAAGCCAAGAAGAGACTTGTTTTCCTTTGCTAAAGTAAGGAAACTTTGCTTCTTTTGATCCTGTAAAGAAACGTTGGTTTTCACGAGACTCACCGGCGCATGCACAACGCTGAACTCATACGTCATGCTCCCGGAGCTGCTTCTATGTACAACTGCTGGCGCAAGCTAGATTCAAGTGATTATTACGTTTTGAATATGGATATTTTTCTTACAAAAACGCATCGATTCGCTACAGAAGGCCTTTGTTCACACCCCGGAGCCGTGTGAGACACTTTTTTTTTATGGAAAGGTGCTCTCTCATTTGACACAAAATCAAATGTTTCCGTATTCGCGATGTATTTGAATGCCAAAATAGTATTTATTATGTAGCCTACTCGCGTTCCAATATCCACGTAAAACAAA